TTTTTTAAAGAGAGAGTGAGAGAGGAGAGAGAGAGATAGAGAGAATTTTTAATATTTATTTTTTAGTTCTCGGCGGACACAACATCTTTGTAGGTATGTGGTGCTGAGGATCGAACCCGGGCCGCACGCATGCCAGGCGAGCGCGCTACCGCTTGAGCCACATCCCCAGCCCCTATGGATGTTTCTTAATATCCATAAATATTAAGTAGTAAATTCCAAAAATAAACAATTTGGAAGTTTTAAATCACACAATGTTCTGAGTAGCTTATGAAAGCTCACAACATTCTATTCTGTCCTATCCATGGGATATGAATTATCCCTTTATCCATCACAGCCATACTTTGTATGCTACCTGCGCATTAGTCTTTAAGAAGCCATCTCACTTATCAAGTTGACTGTCACAGTGTAGCAGTGCTTTTGTGTAAATAACCCTTGCCTTACCTAATAATAACGGACCCAAAGCAGACTGTAATTATGATGACAATTTGAACATGCCAAAGAGAAGCCACAGTGCTCCATTTAATCTAAAAGTTGAAAGATCGTGGCTTAATAAGGAAAAGAAAAAATATCATATGCTAAGGTTTCTAATATCTACATAAGAAGGAATCTTCAACCTGTGAAACTGTGAAGAAGGAAAATTAAATGCATGCTACTTTCACTGTTACATCTTAAAATATTATTTTGAATTTGTATGAGTTTGGTTTCAGAACTCCACTGGGGATCTTGAGACATACCCCCCATGGATAAAGGGGGACCACTGAATTAGGGTAAAGACTATGTTCCTGTTGTTTCCCAATGTATTTGGTGTTGAGATCACTGATTGTGCAGTACTTTAAGGACAGAACATCCATTTCTTCCCTAAGAGCTACAAGGAATGATGGCAGACTTACCTAAGGAGACCAGGTTCTGGTAGTTCTCTAGCATCACATCTCTGTATAGGTCTCTGTGAGTTTGATCCAATAAAATCCACTCTTCTTGAGTGAAGTTCACAGCCACATCCTCAAAGGTCACCAAGTCCTAAATTGTTAAACACATGGCAGCCTGAGTAATAAGTTACAATACTAATATCTCTATCAATGTTGACTAAAGAATGAGGAAGTGAGGCCAAGGTCTATGCAAGGATCTGATGGTTTTTACTGTCTATTGCAAGGTTCAGTGGTCCCAGGAACTTTTTCTCTATCCACATGCACTTACTGCCCATCTCCTGAATCATATGGCTTTTATGGCTCTACTGAAAAATGAATTTATCACACCACACTTAGACTAGAAGCTCTTCTCTTATTTCCTTCTATTTTTTTTTTAATATTTATTTTTTAGTTTTTCGGTGGACACAACATCTTTGTTTGCATGTGGTGCTGAGGATCGAACCCGGGCCGCAAGCATGCCAGGTGAGCGTGCTACCGCTTGAGCCACATCCCCAGGCCCTTATTTCCTTCTATTAAAGTATACTCCTATCATATGCTTGATAAATAGGACAAATGAATAGTCTTTTATGGAAAAGGACACTTTTTTCTTTCTTAACATCTGGCAGAGTACTTGGCAAAAGAAGAATCACACCATACCCTTGTCACCATTAGTGTCATCATTGCTTAGTAATTACTGAAATATTGGGGTGATTTTCAGATAACACCTCATTGATAAGAAGACTCCATTCCCGTAAATTCATCTGGGGACTTAGTTGATTGAGGCTCTACTGACTTTAAATAGTTGTGGAGATAAGTCTATCTAGAAGAAAATGTGCCTGGTGGAGGCAAGCATGCCATTCTGTTGGACAGTTTCTGCATACCCGGTAATAGTTTATCAGGCAGTCTGCCATCTTTTCTGCTTTTATCTTTTCTTCAAGTAGGCTGAATGGATCCCTGAAAAGAACTGCTCCTGGAAAAGAAAGAAGGCATGAGAACTGGAACTACCCTAATTCCTACACTTACATGCCTAGAAGCCATTCCATCCTAGCATGAAACTGCCATGTAATCCTGCACATTTGAAAAGCTCTCTCTCTCTCTCTCATATGTGTACTACTATCATAGAATGCTAGAGCAGTCCTGTCTCACCTAGAGCTAGAAAAAGGGATGGTGAGTAGTACCGCCCATTACAAAAGCTACGATAATTCATTTTACAGGTAAGCAAACTTAAATTCAGAGAAATTGTCTTCATTTATCCATGATGAAAATTCTCAAGGATATCATGCAGCACATACACCAGGGGGCTCATCTGCACAACAGTATTATCTAGCCCATTTTGACATCTCCAAAAAACCAAAACATAAAAAGCTGGGTGGTGTGGCTGCTCAGACCTGGGCCAATGGGCTCTGTTACACAAGGTGGATATAAAGCAGAATCTCTATAAAAGAACATTAACAGGACTGGTCAGGGGCCAATCAATAACCGTCATTCTGTGAGGCTGAAGGCAAAGTTTTCTGGAACGCTGTTTTCCTAGATGCCAAGACCACTTCAGGCAGCTTATGAATCTTGGAGGATAAGGGAAATCTCCATTCTTCCTTACAGAGCAGTACTTCATCATTTGTCATCAGACATTGGCTTACTCACCACAGATGATATAAAGAAAGCCACTAAATACAATGTAACCTGTTAACATAAGTATTAATAACACCCACTATCATTTACTGAGGACCAGAAAGTATGCATTTACACTAGGAGGTCAGTATACACACACACATATGTGTGTGTGTGTG